GACTTGTGATCTTGAATTTTCACATTATAATCATGATTTAAAGACTCACTCTTTTTGCTCAAGATAGATTTTATTAGAATTATATTGTCATCTGATAAGTCTTCATTATCATGAGTTAATAATTAGTAAATAATATAGTTTTAGCCTTAACTCATGATAAATAGATTTATATTTATATTAAAGTGTGAAAAGTGGTTTTTAGTTAATTAATATAAAATTTTGGCTAATTATATGATTTTATATAAATTTATATGATTTATATAATCTTACTTTTGAGATAAATAAAGAAAAAAAAATTAAAAAAAAAGAAGCAAAATGAGGGGTACCTGTCAATCAGGGAAGCACAAGTTGAAAGCGTAGTCAAGGAAGAGTTGCGAGTAGGGACTCGAGTGGTTAGGACCGATAGAGGCATGTGTGTGCCACTCTCCTTCCACGTCACCGATGGCCAGCTAGTTGTAGGATAAAGAGTGGTCCTACACATGAGAGAAAATGACTTACTTGTAAATATAATATTATTATATTTTCACTCGAAACTTTGATGCACAAATAATGTGAAACTAAACCTCTGTCACACTTTTCTTAGAAGGCTTTGATAATTTTAATACCTATAATATCCCTTATTTATAACAAAGATATATCATAATGATGTCATTTTATAAGGACATTAATATTTATGTCAATCTCTCTCATACATGCGGGCAACCAACGTGGGTTTGAATCCTCTTAGAACCAAAACTCATATTTTTTATCTAATTATTACAACTTTTCTGTAGATTGCTGATGAAAGATTAAATCGTCAAAATTGTTAGATCGTCAGCAAAAATCTCGTCAATACGATTCGCTGAACATTGTTACTAAAATTGCTAAATGATTTGCGATAAAAAGATGACGAATCCATCAAGTAAAATATCTTCGATTGATCAAAAAATAAGCCATTGTGGAGAAGAAGACAAACTGCCGGGAGACGAGTTGCCACCTCTTGAGAATATACCGGATGTGATGAAGAGCTTTTTCTTATTGCGCAAACCTGAGGATGAAGTTCCCTAACCCACACCCCACCTCCATCTAGTTCCTCTCCGTCAGGTGACAACTACCAAAGAGCTACAAAGTCGTCGTTTTTCCACTTTGTCAAGTGACAACCATCGGAGATGATTTAACAACCCATTTCATTGATCTCTAGACTTTGCAAGGAGATCTAGAGATTGCTCACATTGTCCTTGTCCAAAGAGAACCTTCGAAGTTATAGACACTACACAACAATCCTCTCGAACACTTAGGATTTTAGTGTATCATCGATGCATAATCGCTGCGACGTCGGAACTCTATTTTTCTACTTTCAACTTATTTTTTGCTTCATTTAGTGATAATTTGTGTAATTTAAATTTACCAAGATATATTTCATTTAATTACGATTATTCTGGCTTTTACATATCTTAATTTGATCAATTAAATCATATGTAATCACTTACGTAAGAATTATTAAGTGGAAACAGAGTTCCACTTGATTCGTGTTCACTGAGTGTTGGAAAATTATTACTATTTTTAGAAGTTATATTAAATTATAATCAATATATTTGTTCTAAAATACTTTTAAATATTTAAAAATTTATATTTTCTAGTTTTATAAATTTTAAATTTACATAATTTATTATACAACGACTAAGTCATGTCATCATATTAATGTCAGAGCCTTTGCAAATGAGAAAAGGCTTTTTAACATCGATCATTTTAGCTATTGGGCATCCGTAGTTAGTTTAAGTCTATTGATGGTGGTGGTGGTTGATATGTTGGTTCTAAAACCTAGCTTGTGCACAATTTTCTGGTTAGTTGCTAACTGTTAAAAGCCATGACATTGGTGTACATAATCATGCATGGATATAATCTAACAATTCATGAACTAAATTTCATTATGATGATTTTTCTTAATAGTTTTATTAATCTGCCTGTCTGCCAAGTTTGACCTAGAAACTAATGGTATGCAAAAGGCAGATGGTAGATGGCTAATGGGGCTTATTTTTGCTTATTGTTCATACATTTTAGTTGATATCCGGATTGTATCTCTATCGGTATCCGAAAATTTGGTGCAGACTTCATTTGGGTTGGTCCGGGGGGGATAGACTCGGGTCCACAGCCCAGAAGCCCGTGAAGCCCGGCCTAATGATTGCTGCCACTACTCTCCCATCCCCCTTCTCTTGATCTCTTTGGCCTCCGTTCCACGGTTTGCTGTGAAATCTTTGTTCGAAAAAACTGTATTAATTAGTGAAATATTTATCAATGGAAAAGAATAAAGTAAACCTTCACATGCAAAATAATATATTTTTATTAAATTTGGTTAGAAAATTTTGAGGCCTAAACCATGATATTTATGTATAAATGTATCAAAGGTTCCTGAACATCACACAACCGAAACCTTCTAGGAGGCTTCTCTTTCAGTTCCCAACAGTTATCATGTTCATTGAAGGGTTCTAGGCTAATATTCTTGAATTAGAGCTTCACATCGCACGGACCGTCGCTTCAAATGGGCTCTTCAGTTACTTGTAAAAGCTGCATTCTTTGATGCCCACCATCGTAAAGCCACCATTTCTTTCGGAGGAGCAAAGGAGATAAATAGGTGGGAAGCTATGCAATAAAGATACGCAAGGACCCGCGTAAGGAACAAAATAGGGTTCGAATGGGAAGCTTTAAACGAAGGAACCGGGGGGGGGGGCGTCCACATGAGGAACGAAATAGGATTCTAACTAGGAAGCTATGAATTGAAGAAACTCTGAGACCCCACACAAGGGACGAAATAGGCCTCCGGGTGGGAAGCTATAAAATAAAGCAACCCTTAGGACCACATAAAGAATTTCTTCCTCGGGGCAGGTAACCCCTAGGAGAAGGTTAGCTCTGGTGGGCGACGTTCCTCCTTGTCCGACTTGATACTAGCTAAGTGTCATCCCGAAGGTAAGGAAGCTGCAAGCTCGTCGGCTGCGATTGATGGGATCCCTGGAAAGGGAAAGCCAGCGTCTTTCCAGCATCAAAGATGCCGCCGGTGGGAGTTTTGTAGACGGATAACGATGGCCCAGTGAGAGTTAGTTGAAGACAGGAACGGCTATGGAAGTGGGCAACTGCCCGAGTGCTGCACCGTTCTTCCTCATCTAACTTTAAGCTTCGCCAGCGCCGTTAGATGCCCTTAGGAACCAGTGAAGCATCCACTGTCGACAAGATCATTCCTCCCAATAAACAACGTCCCAACTTGATCGGCCCCCATCGATGTGGACCGGAAAGAGAAGTTCCCACTGATTAGGGCTTCTCTCCGCGTGGAGCGCCGCCGTGGGCAGGTAGCTATGAGTGGCGCCCCGAAAAGAGAAGGGCGGCGGCGAGGAATCATGTGCCAGCAAAAGGCCGGATACCCACCGCTCGCTGGGAAAGAAAGCATGCGTTAGACAGCATAGCGGCGGCCGGCAAATCTCAGCTGACGACGACCTTATGAAGTCGTGTCGTCAGCGGTGAACTCTTACTCTCCTCGGCGGAGATCTGCGCGGCGCCGCCAGGCCCTCGGCTAAGCCGACCGCTCCTCCATTCCCCACTGGACGAGTCTAATTCCCTCACCTCAATGGAGAAGAAGAGACTCCTTTTTTCTACTAAATTCCCCTCCCACGGCGGCCGCCGCAACAGCTCGCCGCCGGGAAAGGCCAGGTGGACACCCGGGTTACGCCGTTCACGAGCCTGCATCTTGCCTCCTCTTTCTCCGTGCGCGGCGAAGTCCGCCCAGCCGTGTCACGTGTGGATCCAGATAACAATCGTCACTCAGCCTCCCCCGCCCATCGGTCATGGAGAACTGCCGTCGCTGTTTCCTACTAAACCTGCGTGCCGCCGCCAACTGGCAAGACGCGGTGAGTGGTCCTACCGGCCTCGCCGGGCTTCCCCGCCGACGGCCGGCGACCGGATCTGCCCGGCGCTTTGGCTCAAGGTTGGTTGGTTCAGCCACCAAGAAGGTCCATGCCCAGCGCGCACACGCAACAGCAAGCTTGGGGTCAGTTCGCCGCCCTAACCACCCCGCGAAAAGGATGCTTCACTGGCGCAGCCTCGCTCAAACGACTAAGATCAGCTAATAAACCATCACCCTCCGCCGGCGGCGACTGTTGCCTGGGAGGAAGACGACGATAAGACCAGACCTGATCCAATATGACGCCTTTATCGTCATCGTCTCTCACCCGTGAGAAGCAGACAGGCTCGAGTCTGAGTGGGGCTGTCTTCGATTTCCGCGGAGGACATCGCCGTGTGGACCTCAGCTGTCCGCATTGCGTCGGAGGCGTCGCCTTCCCCCATCACGATCCTGCAATGCTGCTTCGGAGGCTTAAGTAACCTCCCGTAGGAGGGGACTGTGGCTACGCGGAGAGGGCGGTAATGACACCGAGGGTGAACCGCATCCCGCCGATTTTAATTTTTAACATCACTGGATATTGGGTGAAATTAGGAAAATATTAGAGGTGGACTGGCGAGTTGTTGATTTCGTTTTTGAAATAGGTGATTAAAGTAGAGACAGGCGAAACTAGCTTGATGTCGTAGCAGTTCGGTCCTATTTTCCTCAATCGTCGAAATTCCTCACTATATGCTCAACATTGCAGCAGCAGAGGACGACCGACGAGTACCGCGCCTGCGCCTCCCCCGGTCCTCGCCAGCGCCGCCGCTGTGAGAGCGCACGAGGGAAGGGAGAGAGGGCTAAGATTTTCTCCGGGCTTCGGGTTCCACTCTCTCTGTCTCTCTCTAGTCTCCCTTTCGTGCCATTGTTGTCAGGTTCCCATCTTCCCGTTGCCCTTCTTCTCCCACCCCCTAGCATCGCAAGAAGAGGAGGGGGATCCGGTGCTCCGGTGCGTAATGTGACCCCTCGCCGCTGGTAGAGGAGGGGGGGGGCAATTGCGACATTGGCGACAGTGGCGACAGTGTCAGCGAGGGCGGGCGAGGGGATTCCTGGGGCATAGTGGAGGTGGAGGGCTGGGTGCCCTGGAGAGGAGATCATGGTGGCGGTGATCCCTGCAGCTCCCGCCGCTGCAGCCGCTGCTCAGCCAAGGAACTCGAAAAGCCCTAGCATTGTCCGTGAAGATCTTCCCGTCCCCAGCCGGCCTCCCCTAAACCCCTCGGAGAAGGACAATGCTGCAGTCCTCCGGCGTCCCCGAATCAAGGAAGTTACCTCCAGGTACCTCTCCTCGTACAGTTCCCCGTCTTCCTCTACTACCAGTACCTCTTCTTCCTCTTCTGGGGGTACCGGCGCCAAAACTACCACTTCTTCCTCTTCCTCGTCACATTTTCGGCGATTCCCCTCTCCGCTCCCCACTTCTCGTCCATCAACCCCGTCGTCAACGTTGCCCCGTTCGACTGGCCCGAAGCGTTCTCAGTCGGTCGATCGAACGCGGCCCGCTACCCCACGCTCAGATCATGGCAGACTCAACAATGTCGCCGCCACAGAGACCTCCTCGGCCTCCAAAGACCTCTGCACAACAACACGAAGCCTCTCGGTTTCCTTTCAAGGGGGATCGTTCTTCTACCAGACCAGTAAGGCCAAGAGTGCGATGTTGAACCCTACAAGGAAGTCCACGCCGGAACGTCGGAGGACTGCAACCACTCCGGTCAGGAACAACAGGATGGATGGTGATGGAAAGGACGTCAGAGATCATCAATCAGAGAATTCAAGACCCGTGGAACACCATCGCTGGCCGGCAGCGCGAACCAAACAGTCAAACACATTGACAAGGAGTTTGGACTACTCATCGGAGAAGAAAGATTCAATGTTTGCGTCTACGAGATTGCTTCAGCAGTCGATGATGTTGGACGAGGGAAGGCGAGCATCATTTGATGTCGGCGATCTCTCTGCATCATCAGACACAGATAGTGTTTCCTCTGGGAGCAATTCGGGTGCACATGAATCATACATTCCTTCTCGTGCTCGTGTTACGCCCCGTGGCATCAATGTCCCTGCAAGGTTCTGGCAGGAAAATAACAGCAGACTCCGGCGGGTAGCAGATTTCGGTTCTCCATTCGCATCTCCTTTACCAAGGACCTCATCTGCCTTAAAACTGGTTCCGATCAGGAAATCATTGGTCGATGGGTTGCCTTTGTCCCCTAGCACGATTTTATCTCCTCTTCGAGGGCCCATTAGACCTTCTTCTCCAAACAAGGTAGCTTCTTCTCCGTCAAGGGGAATTACAAGTCCTTTACGGATGAGAAATAACTTCCAAGTTGGGGGTTCGGTGACAATTGGTCAGCCTGGGATTGCACCTTCCATGATAGACTTCGCCTCTGAACTTCGGAGGAGTAGGAAAGGCGAGATTAGGATTGAAGAAGCACACTTACTGAGGCTATTGCATAACCAGCATTTGCAGTGGCGATATGTAAATGCAAGGGCAAATTCATCACAATCGGTGCAAAAACTGACTGCAGAGGTCAGTTTCAATGCCCATCTCCTTCAATGTTCTGTTATTCCTATAAATATTTGATCCTTCGATGCATCTATTATCTGTTCATGTCTTTGCATGGTTTCATTCCTGCCTGTGAATTTCTCGAGTGTTTCATAGCGATCTACGTGATATATTGAGGTATCTACATGCAGTTGTACTGGATATATTGTCTATCCTCAGAACATGCACAATTAATTTCATGAAGCTTTTTATAATTTTGACTATCTAGAAGGCTCCAAAATGTTCTCCTAATTCCTGTCAATTTTCCCGTTCGGTCTTCGTTAATTGCATTCCGGCATCTGCCAATTTGTTGTGTCTTCTTCTATTAAGCTCAAACCAACGTTTGAGAATCCCAAAGTGTAAGGTTCCTTTGCACACAAGCTATCACATCTGCAGGCTTCACTCTATTTACATGTTGAAGGCATACATTCAAGTTGACTTCTGGTTGATAACATGGATTTATGCCTACTGGATTATGGATGATGTGTCATAGTGAAGACAGATGGATGATTGGAATGTAAGATCATTAATTAGTGAGCGGTAGTAATTTTATTTATGAGTTTTATTTACGACTATTTTTTATTTAAGTACGCCTGTTTCAAAACGGTCCGCCTTCCATTCTATTGCTGTAATATATAGAAAATATATTTCCACCAAAGTTTTCAAGTTGGAGTTTTAATTTGTTGCCATTATCTCATGGTTCGGTATACAGATTTTCCATTATTATCTTACCGATCTCAACTAATCAACAGGAAACGATTGCACCTGCATTTTTGTGAAGGAAAAGGGTTCACAATAAAGAGTCATAATAATCGCCTACTTTCGAGGGAGAATCTCATTGATCATGTTTTTACTCAATTAAGTCTGAAATATATGTCTGCAGAAAATCCTTGGTAATTCTACGAAAATATTCTAAAATCGTATGGATGGCCTGTATTTATATCAAATTTCTAGTCGACAAGTCAATTCATGGTCCATGTATGCGTGTCTGGTTTTCAATTCAAGTAGACATAGGATTCACTTTCCAAATATCGGAAATCTGCTCACCATAATCCATAGCAATGGACGGCAGCTCTACTTGTGACAAGCGTAATAATATTACTTCTGACATCTCTTACATTCGCATGCCTAGATAGGTGAGCATTAGCCTTTTAATTTCTTGTCTAAATTATCATTTGAGATGACGTGTGTTCCAGTTATTATGATTCTCTGTATTTTTTTTTTAACCTTTGGTAAACTACTCTATTACCTAAGCTCACTTGACTTGTGCAGAAAATAGCAAATTCAATATCTAGTTATAATAAATCCAATACAAAAGAACCTGTGATAATGAAGACGACTTCTCCTCTTATTACTAATTTTTTTGTATTCAACGATCTAATAATTTCAATATGCTACAAATGCTGATGGTTTCTCTTGTGCTGCATTCAGCTTGTTTACATTGTTCATGTGAAAAAAACCCAAGAGTCAGTTTGAGTGGGATGGGTTGAGGTCAAATAGTCAGTTATTACTTTGTACATCTGTGATTATAGAAATTTCCCCGCTTTTCTCGTTTTTTAAATTGCTCTGGAGTTGGATGGCGTTTGAAGGGATATCATTCTTAACAAATCAGTCACTGTCAGCTTTCGTGAATTACTGGTTCTTCTGGTCTGGATAACTAGAGGTTTGAAGACTCAGTAATATGTTTTCTGGACACTTTTTAATTTGGTCGGGATATGATAGTAAAGGTTATTTTTTTCAGTTTCGCTGTCTGTCACGTCATTTCCTGTATGATTAGTCATAATAAATTTTTAAAGAGAGTTTTATAGTTCTTGGCCTATTTTACTGTGAAAATTATGTTCTTGGCCTAACTGATCTTATTCTCCAGAAAATTCTCTACAGCGGATCAATGACAATTGCAGATATGCGTGATACCATCAGAATGAAAAAGATCAAGTTACATATGCTGGTTGAAAATATGAAATTATCTTCCATCCTTAGGGGTCAAGTATGTCAGAATTTCTCTATAATGAGGCTGTTTTTTCTCATTCATTTATGAAAATATTGTGGATGGTACTTTCTGAGGCATATTCCATTTAGTTCAATTTCATGAACAATATAACTCTTCACATTAAAAAATCTAACATGAACTCTGAATGGGGATGCTTTGTGCCTAACTTGGATAGAACCTCAGATTTGGATAGTCTTCTGTGCAAGGTTTTGTTTGCTTCATGTTCTCTCTCTCATATATCCTTCCCCTTTAATTTGCCAATGCTTTTCTCATCCCCCCCTTCCCCCTTCCCCCCTCCCCCCCCATCTCTGTGGAGGAGGTGCTCTAGACTGTTGTTGATCATGGGCAGTGGAGTTGTAAATGGAGTAGGTATGTTGTCACGTACAGCCTTGCAATCTGCAAGGCTCTGGGAGAACAACGTGGAAGATGTTATCACCATTGTAGGTGGTATCATCGGCAGGAAGATGTTAGATTTGGAGCTCTTTAATGATAATTTCCACTTAGAACTCTTGTCAGTCAATGTGTATTGCTGTGAGTACACCTCACCTACCTTAAGGCATGGTAGAACTGCTCATGATCTCAGTTTAGTATCATTAGCTTAACATTGATTGCCTTTAAAGCCTTTAGGGGCAGGGATATATAGGCAGCCTCATGGCCCTCATAAAAGGATAAGCGTGCCAACGAGCTTCCCCCTGCTGATTTGTGAACTCGGTATCCTTCCCAGGATATCTTGGTTTGTACACTTTGGTTTTGGCAGACTAAACTGTTGTGTGCATCAAATGTTTCTCAAAGACTTAGCCGAAACAACATGTGGGTTTCCTTTGTATTGATCTTCGATGAAGTTTAAGCTGATTGTTAACTTATAACTCATCCTGTTGCTTGTAGATTACATGTCCCCCAATTGTACCGATTCATGATGTAAAGAGAGTGGTAGTGCACGAAAAAAAACATAAAATGAACATAAAAGCAGGAAATTAGTTTTTGTTCGTGAAAATGTAGTGTTAGATAACCCTATACAAACCAATCTCTGAGACATGACTGACTAATGAAAATATAGTGGAAAAATATTACAAAGGTGCCAGCAGTTTTAAATGTTTTTCTTGATAAGAAGTTTATCCGTTTTTTATCAATGTAGATGGCCTATCTAGAAGAGTGGTCTCTTTTGGATCGGGAGCATTCCGGTTCTTTATCAGGAGCCATTGAAGCTTTGAAAGGCAGCACTCTTCGCCTCCCAGTTGTTGGTGGAGCAAGGGTTAGTGTCTTGAAAATTTCTGATGAAGCCATCAACTCTGAGTATTATGTTTGGTACAATATTTTATCAGTCCATGTGACAAACATTTCATATTTGCCTTTTCTTCAACAGGCAGACATCCAAGATGTAAAGGATGCTGTTGGGTCAGCTGTTGATGTGATGCAGGCAATGGGAAGCTCGATCCGTTCTGCACTGTCAAAGGTGAATCTTCCATTTTGTTTACAATGAGAAAGTCTCTATTTCAGTAAACATATCGTAGAATATTTAATTTTTTTCCATATATCTATTTTATTTAAGCCACTGTGGCTTCTGCACCGTTTTATGTTAGAGCATAGCTCATGCACATCAACAAAGTTAGGATGGCCCAGGTTATATATTTTTATTGGTTAAAAATATAGAATGTTAAGTCATGTCATGAGCAGGTTCCATTCCTGTGAGAAATAAAAATTAGGCGATCTACCTCTTTATCAGCCGAGATAAGATAGTGCATAATTTTAAGAGGACACAGGCACAGTAGATATAGGCAAGCAGAAGGTGAACCATCGGAGTGCTATTGCCACAATGCGAACTTGGATGCCCCAGAGCATAAGGATATATGGCTATCACCACACCGAAGAGGGCGAAACAAAGCACTCAGGGACAGAAACGGCTATATAATGGTGTGGTCAATAGAGGGTTACTGAAAGAACCTGAATCTATTAGTGGCTTTACACAGAATAAGTCTGGTGTTATTGACCGGCAAATTCATTTTAGATACCTATTTTATTTTTTACTTTTTGCTTTAGCCCGTGCTTCATTAATGACATCGACGAATCAAAGAATATGACCTGATCTGTGTAGAATAGGATTTGCGCATGCAGACTTTTCTATTCATTTGTATTTCCTATCCCTGATGGTTGACGAGAAAGAGAGGAAGCTTGTTGACTTGGCCTGATTTCTAATTTTTTTTATCCTATGGGTGGGTGGGGTGTACCACCAGGTTAAAATGATTAATGCCATTTTTTGTTAGCATTTTATAGTGTCTTTTTTCATTTTATATGTCCTATGGGTGGGTGGGGTGTACCAAGAAAACAAAGAAATTTGTCTATACGTCTTCTGTGATAGCTGACAAATTTATCCTTATTTTTTAAATGATGAAAGTATTGAAATACTTTACATTTATAACATATCTCTTTTAGTGCAGAATTGACAATTTATTATTTTTAAATGCATCACAAAACTTCATATCATTTGATCCAAAGAACAAGCCCTATCTAACGCGAACGAATTTTTATTCTGTTCTTTTTCTCACAAGTCCAAAGTTCCAACAATATGGAACTTTGCTTGGGTCTGGGAAACAGTGCAATGGACAAAAGAGAGGAATAAAATCCTCATTCAGTTAGCTGAAAGAGCCAGCATTCCTGCTAGACTGAATATCTAGTATGCTGGCTCTTTTGGCAAGCTGAATAAGGACTTTCCTCCGATAAGGGTCCAAAGAGGGTTATCCTCTTCCTTTCATCAAATTCGGGGGATCCTTTTCTTCACTATGATGAAAGAGAAAATAAATCGTGTAAAGTAAAAAAATTGCCTTATTGTTCTCATTTGCAAATGCTATAATTTGCGTTTAGTGGATTTGAGAACCTATGTGTTGAACTGTCGCGGAAATTATGCTCACTGTGAGGGTTCATTGCCTCCTGTGATCATTAAATGGCACATAATCATTGCCTCACTCCGGGTTGCCACGATCTACGAAACCAGCATCGAGAAAGAAAACCCTCCCAATGCCCGAACCTTAAAAACCCAGGTACCATAAAATTGTTTGCCTTGTTCACAAGCGCACTACAGACAGTAGTGCCCAACAATCTTCCTTTAGCAGCTCCTTGCGATGAAAAGCATCCGGTTGATGGAGATCCATCGCAGAGCCAATAAAAAGGGTATCTTCCCCAAAACCGCGATGATTATTGTAGAAAAGCCTCCTCACTTCGTATTTGATGCGTTTTTGCATTAAGACACTCGTCACCATCGGGACCATCGGACTTAATCTTGGGGAACCAATGGACTTCATGTTAGCTCGTAGAGGAATAATTCCAAACCCCCCAGGAGCCCTAAAACAGTCCTGCTATTGGGTAAGTGTCGTGCAGCTTGTGTGTGTTATTTATAATACAGAAATGGCCGGAATACAGGATAGCAACTATGAACATAATCAGGACCTCCCTATATTTGAGGCATTGAAAACTCTCTGCGATAGTACTTGGATACATCTATTTTCTACCACAAATCTGTAAAACATGTCACCTGACTGGATCCATGGATGGATAAGTGGATACCCTCCGGAAGAAAGTGCGTCCGAAATTCGCAAAGCCAGCTCCCGATTTTGATGCTGAGTAAGCTGTCAAATTAGACGCGAGGGGAATAATCGGAGCACTGCCATTTTGCAGGTCGAGGGGACATGTTCCCTGGTGTGCGAGCTGGCGAAAGTGGCGGCTCAAGAACAGGCGTTGCTGGATCAATCCCGCGACCTCTTGTGCACCGTAGCTGCCATGCATGTAAGTCCAGTCGTTTGACAATCTTTGTTGCTCTGGGCTCCCCTCAAAGCTAGCTGGAAGCACGGATCATTCTATCATTCAAACACTGCCTGAAAGCGCGTGATCATCGGCCAGTCACGCCTGGCAGACTCTGGCTCTTCACAGCTTCCAAATCTTCTGCGACGATGAATTGAAGGATGAGACTCATAAGGGGCGAAGTTTTGTGGGGAGCCCAAGAAATGGAATCCCTGTAATTCAACCAACCATGGTGCTTGGCTTCTGACGTGGTTTGAGATTGTGAAACAGGTGAAGCAGTGTAGCCTGCAAGGGCATCTCCAGCAACAGCGACGCAGGGCGGCGTGGACGAGACGATAGAGTTACGACGCGGCGAGTACCTTCTCCGGTTTACTGACAATTACAGTGACGATAGGGTTGCGGTCGAGAGATCTGAATCCCCCACATGAATCGGAAATGCCAAGGCCATTGCTTTCTCTTCTTCTCTCTCTCTCTCTAACCTTGTATCCGTAGCTTCCTACCACACGAAAAGCCTTCCGTTTCCAGTTTCCTCCCCTGATCTAGCTTTCAGCTGTATACAGAGTGTTGCCGTTATGACCAAAGCTGCTGTATATATTTGCGGTTCCTTTCTGCAACTTGTTTCCTCCTGTCAGTAGCCACGGGTGGATGATCTGAACATCTCTCTCTCTCTAGATATATATATTTACATCCAATAAAATTGTGGACGGTGGCCTGTCGAGTCGATCCAGGAGAAGTGGGTTTGCAGAAATTATCTCCGTTCTTGAGGGAGGTGGGAATCGGGCCCAATCAATTCCTGTGGTTCCAATGCTATAAATAAGTGGAGAGCATAGCAGACAGGGGTCGCGGTTATCTGCCGGCCTTCATTCGTCTAAGATCGAAAGACGAGGGAGAAAAGCCCCCCCACGGAAAAAGCCTCATCCGTCGTACAGAATGCATATTTTTTTAAGGAAAATGATTACCTTTGGAAGTAGAAAAAGGCCTGCCTCAGCCAGAAACGCGGATATGCATATCTCTGTCGTCTACGGATAGGTAGGTACGACAGATCTTTCGGGGACCGCATCCATGTTTCCCGACTCGGAGGAGGTGGTGACGACTCTCTCCTCTCTCTCTCTCTCTGGGGAGACCCACAACGTGCCACAGTTCAGGCCCATGGCACCGGGGGTTGGGGGGGTGGGGATTCGGAGGAGGGAAATCCGGGGACGGCGACAAAGGAGCCGCTGTAATAACTTGAAAGCTCGGCATCTAGATCCAGTCAATCCGGGAAAGAGGGTGAGAGAAGGACGTGTTCGCCGGCGCCATCTTTCAGGCAGCATCGCGGCCCAACGAGGACCGTTCAAGTGGCACTTTCCAGGATTGCAAAGGTCAACTATTCCGGCTGCTCAGAGGACTTCCAACCTCGAGTTCACCGCTCCGGAGTAAATGCGATGTAGACTACGTGCAGAGGAACCCCCCGCCCCTTCCTTTCCCCAGCACCGGAAACCCCCGGCTTTAAAACTCCGGCCCTCGGACGACTGTTTTCAAGCCTCAGTAACGCGTCCAATCATGATGGCTGACCTGCCCAGCGACGCCACCCCGGCCTGGTGCCGGAACAGAGCGGAGCTTCCGATGACAGGAGCGGCGGCGGCGCAGCACCGACGCCAGGAACCAGGAACGGGGGTCTCAGCTAAAAGCGAGAACGAGCGATAAAGCACAACGCGGAGTGCAGGATGACGAGGCCTCTACCAGCAGCATCTTTAGTTTATTCTCCCACGCAACGCCGCCCCCGCCTCCCCATAGATTGATTATTCCGGCGTGCCGCCACGAGAGGGTTCGCCGTTCTCGCCCTCCTCACCGCCGGGATCTCCCTGAATCGAGCGGGTGTGGTTCCGAAGCTTGCGGGAATGACCGGAGCCGGGACAGGGCAGGTGCGGGTTGGAGGGGAGGACCTCCTTCCACCTTATCTCCCCTCGGGAGAAGAGCGAGCTTTCATGGAATCCGCGTCACGCGGCTCTCGTGCGCCAATGTCCTCAGAAAAGTCACCTTGTCTCTGGCCTCTTCCTCCTCTCATCCCCACCGAGGCGGGCGGGCGGGCGGAGCACCTTTAAATATTCCGTCTATTTAATGATGATCGGTGTGAGGGAGGGCGGAGAGGAGGGGAGGGGGGACCTGTAAGGGGGGAGATTGATGATCTCTGCAACCTGAAAGTATTGACCCGCAAATTGAATACTCACTCGATTTATCGCATCTAGGTCGATCTTCTAAAGGAGGAAGAGAGGGGGCTGAATGTTCCACAAATCTTGTGGGTCCCTTCCCTCTCCCGCACCAGGGGACGAACGCGGCGAGGCGCGGCGAAGGAAAGGGAACAATGTGGATGGGGGAAGGTGTGAGAAAGACGGTGGGAAAGAAGGATCCGACGAGAAAACTCGGCGGGCCCCCCCCGCACGCGCGAAGGACGTAGCGCCCAAATCGACGCTGACACGCGCCGCGGCCTCGACGCGTCCTCGTCGTCGCACATCAACGGCGACAGGCCCGTCCCTGCCGCTCTCGCGTGTGGGCGGCGGGCGGGGGAGCGCAGCCCCCACAGCGGCTTCAGAATTCCTGTACAGCGTGTGACGTATGACGGAGAAGTTAATTGCAGTCTCCAGCCCCTGCCCGCTCCGCCTGCGAAAAGGCGAAGAAGCAGGGAGTGGGAGAAGGGGGGGGGGAGGTGACGCCAACAGCGGATTCCTTGCCCGTCTTCGCACGCCTCTTTCCGCATCAGAAAGACCGTCTCTGTTTTGTCCCTCTCCCTCCGAGGGACAGGAGGTCGGCGGATGAACCCCCCCTGGCGCACCCTGAAAGCTGCCGACAGACAACAGGGACCGTAGAGTTCGCCTCGCCGGCTAGGGCTGTCGTCTGCGCGAGCATTTCCATGGCTAGCGGCCGTGGCTAATCGCCGCGGCCGCCCCGTTTCAGACGTGAACAAGAAGTGGCGCTTTATTCGTCCTTCCGCCCGCATAACATCAGAGAACGATGGGAGGGGGGGTAATAGGAGGAGATAGAAGGCCGGCCGGCAATTTCATCTTCCCAGGAGGGGATCGATGCCGGAAACTTGCCCAGAATGAAAAAAAAAAAGGGTGGTGGGAGAGGAACAAAATAAAGGGGAAAACTGCTCGCCGGACTACAAAAGCTGCGACCACTTAGTCAACCGCTTCCGGTAATCGCTTCATCTGAGAGCCCAAAACCATAGCTTCACCATCTCGAGCTTGTCATAGAGATGAAACCATGAATAAGTCATTCCTTAGTAAGCTTCCCGGGCGACCAGGCGGCCGCTGTATCCTCGCCTCACGCAAAGAGGTTGAGTAGGAGCGGCACCTGCTCCTGCTGCTGCTGACACGCGGCCGTGGCCCAGTCTCCGCTCTCGGCGCACGTCGTCCCCGACTCTTCCGAGGGAGTCCCCGGCCGCTTCTGCTGCCGCCTGTCGTCTACCTCCCCGGAAAGACGCAACTCGAGGTTGGACGGCGCCGACGGCCTCGCGCCGCCCGTCACGCGGCGGCCCTCGTTGTCGGCTTCGCACATGGGAGAGGACATTCTGGGCCGCTTCAGAGACTCCTGCTGCTGCCTCGAACATAGCATCCGCACGGAGGGCTCATAGAAGCTGCCGGCGGCCTCGAAGAAGCAATCGACCTGAGGTTCCTCGTCCTGCGGTAAGGGTCGGAGGGTGCCTCCGCGGAGGACCGTCTCTACCGCCGCCTGGCACAGATGCCAGTTACCCGACCACAGCAACCCTACCGCTCCGTTGACTGGGTTGATGGTCCTTCCACAGGCCTCGAAAAGCAAGGACTGGAAGAGAGCTGCATCACACGGCGGGGTCAAGGAGACGACCAAATTTTAAGAATTCCCCAACTCAGAGAGAAGTAGCCCAGCAAGATCAGGAGATTATCAAATCACAAGCGAACTCACCAGGGCGTTGAGGCTCCGGCACAGCGGAGACGAAGGACATGAGCCCTGCGCGGCCAAAGAACTTGGCGACGAAGAGGGTAGCGTGCCCCTGGGCCTCGGGGCTCTCGATCATCCGAAGACACTGCCGCAGCACGCAGCTCTCACTGCACCCCTTCCGGAGAACCCGGCACCCGTTACAGCTCATATCTTCTTCTCCTTCCTCTTCCTACCGCAAGAACACCAGACGCCGGCCGCAGTAGATCCACACAACTCATCCACCGCACCGTCGAACCAGACGGGCCAACCCGCCACCAAGGCGAGAAAACTCCACCGGCAGCCCACACTCACGCCGGCGTGGGGTGAGTTGCGAGGCTTCCTCCCGGGAGGTCAATCAATTATCCCCCAGAGGAGAAATCCGGAGGGAGGGAAGCGGGGAGTGTTGATGCTGAACGAATGGGCAGCGGGGAAACTCTCTCTTCATATATATGAAGAAAGGGTTAACTTAACCGGACCCGAGGGTTAAAAGGGGTGAGCGGCGGCTGGGCGGCGGTCGGGAGCGGCAGCGGGCCGCAGCGCTCGTGGCGTGTGATTTTCTTCGGAAAAAAATAAATCGCTTTAAATTAATGGAATAAGAAAATAAGCTCCAAAGTCCTGGGCGAAAACGGCCCCGTGTCTCCGCGGTCCCGCTCTCTCTCTCTCTCTCTCTTCCTCCGCCGTCCGATTCCCATTCCCGGGGGCTGGGGGGGTTGGGGGCTGGGCGTAACTATCGATGCCCCTGGGAACACCAAATCATCTTCCTTTTAACGGATTATTGGCTGGCTCCGATAACGTCGATAGGATCCGAACGTCTGTGGACCCGGCTGGCCGTGGCCGGTGGACCTTGAATCAGGAGGACGAAATCCCACGAAACAAACGGACAAGCCTGAAATATGCTCATCGCGTCGACGGCGGGGCCCCGTGTCCCTGAAAATATCGCCTCATCTCCTTTCTAATCTGGCGTCTTCCCACCGCGTGTGGTGGCCTTCGGGCTTGCCGGGATTCCTGGGGCCGGCGAGCCCCCCCCCCCAACTTGCCCATGCCATTGGTCAATCCCCTCTCAGGAGTGACCAAAAGATAGAGAGAGAGAGAGAGAGAGAGAGAGAGAGACGTCTCCGATATGCGACGATGGACGGACGGCGGTGGTGCGAGATCCCGAAGTGGGGATACGGAGACTCACCCCCCTGCTGAGTAACCCGTAGGGTTAGAATTAATGGAGGGTCGCCTTGGTCGGCTGCTTCTGGCGAACGCTGCCGGCTGGGGGAACCCGGTGACTTGCCCCGCGACGCGGCCCCCGAGAGCGCGGCCGGATAAAGCCGAGGATGACGGCGCTGAGCTCATTCCGGGGAGGGGGAAACGGAGCGGAAGGAGGGATAAAAAGATATATTAATGAGGAAGAGAATCCTGAATATATATTACGGGGCATCGTCTCTTGCGGCCCCCAGAGGCCGGGGGAAGACTCCGCAACAAAAGTAAGTGGGCGAGCGTCCGCCGTGGGTCACAGTATTTAATGGTGCCTCCCCGGAGAGCGGTGGCGATCAGATGGGGCTACGCCGGAGCCAAGTTGGCGAGTGAGTTGGAGTTTTTCTTTTCGAGCAGTGACCGAAACGAGACTGCTGCCCGATATTCTACTCCACCGTCCAACAAACCCAAAGATTATTGCCAGTGGAGCCGGATATCGTCACCCAATCCAATACTCCGGAGGCGGATTCTCCGCGGCGGAGATTTGCAGAATCCAGGGCTGTGTCCCCGCCATGCCGTCAACCGAGATGAAGATTATATAAACAGACAAGCCGCGTGACCGTCGGCGCAATTCCGAGTGAATAGTCCCAGAGGATGATTGATATCCCTTGGAGGTCGAAGGAAGATGATGAGGGGGAGGCGGAGACAGTCGGGATTTATCTGAGGGGGAGGATGATAGATATCTGCTGGCGGCGCCAACTGGGCGCCGTGATTTAGCTCCCGATCATCCAAAACTGAGTGATTCTGGCCGGCTATGCCCAAACGATGCGTAGAAATTATCGCAGAACCCAGAGTTGACTCGGATTCCCCATGCACGCGGCTTCCGTCAACCGTGGCCGACAGGCTGCGCGGGATTACCAACTGGAGACTTTGGAAGAAATGTCGTGTCTCAAGCCTCGTCGACGCTAATCGGGGGTTTCCCCCCGCTACCCACGAATCGGAATTGGGCTCGGAAGCGTTTCTCCCCGGATTGGATTGGAATAGAAGAAAACGATGGCGTATTGCTGGCCCGTCGTGCTCATGTCCGACGCTGATCCTGAAAATTTTATTCCAGCTAACAATCAAAGCGTTGCTATCGTACCCAGGAGGTAGAAAATTAAACAAAGGTCCTTTCTGTCATGGGGCGAGTATTGCGGGACGCCAAAGGGTCAGGATGGGGAGTGACTGCACCGAAGAAGACGGCGGCGACGACGACGCCGGTGGCGGTGCCGCCGCCGGTCTCCTGCCATGGCAAAGGAGAACAGTGGTCGCCTAGTTCTAACTCTTAGAACACACTGTTCGGACCGCCTCTCTTGCCTGGGGGGAATAGTCCGCAATCTGCGCGAGTCCGCCATCCCAAGGGAGACGAAGAATAATCTTCAGTCGGGTGGTCGTCCTCAGGGCAATAAAAGAATCGTCGACCAGCAACCGGAGACACTGATTCTCCTCGTCCAAGCAACGGATCCGTGGCCGAACTATCTTTATTCCTTTCCTTGGGCTGTATAATCAAGAGTTTCGGAGGGCTCCCGTTTGTAAAATCATTCCGTCTTATTCTCAATTACGCGGTTGACTTTACGGGAAGCTATCGGTGAGCCGCCGCGAAGAGCAGCCAAGACTGAGCTCCGTCGATTGGACGAAGAAGAAAGACTTCCAGGTCAACGTGGAGCCGGTGAAACCAAGTTTTCTCCTTTAACATGATGGCGTGCACGCGAGACGATAGGGACGGCTAGGGCAGCTGGCCATCGGCGCGAGAGAGAAAAAAAGGCCGGTTCACTGTTGCATACGTAACGCCTAGCTTTTTGCAGAAAGCTACGGCCACATACGAGACCCAACAGCGCAGAAGATAAGGCACGGCGCGGTGAGACTCTCTGGTCGAGATCGTCACTCGGGTGCACTTTTCGCCGCCGAGAGAAGATGGCCAGAGGCCCCCCACTCTTCGGACAGGCCGCCATCATCGTGAGACATGTGTAGGTTCTTTAGTTCTTCATCCTCCCAAGTCCATTGGACGCGAGGAGGCCGGGGGGCGGTCAATGCTGAGATACGTCGTGGGGACGTACAGATCAGGACGCCCAGCGTGCCCCCCCCCCCACCCCACCCCCCCGCCTCTCTCTCTCTCGCTCTCTCTCTCTCTACTTTAGTGTTACCGCCGACTTGGGCAAGAGTATTCAAGTGAGCAAGTTGGCGGCGTCCCGCCGCATTGATAGCCCACCGGGTCCGCACGCCTGAAGGAGATGCGGGCCCCTGGCTGCTGTTCCTTTCTCTCTCCGGGTCTTCTCTGTCCTCCCTTGGCGTGGCTTGCCCAGTTGCGTGGGTCAGAGGGCCTGTTTGAGGACCTCGATACGCAACGTGGTCCACCGTGAGAGCCGGCGGCGGCAGGCCCTCCCCTCTTATCACTTGGGCTCTCCTCAAACCTCCCCCACGGACCAACTGTGGGGCCCATTGACGAGTCAACCTGACGATATCTGCGGGGGGCTGTCGGCCCCTCTCTCCCATGTGGGCCGGGCCGGTCATCCCCTCTCACATGTGGGCTGGTCCGGTCGGGCCCATCATTCCAAAATATTATACCCTCGAACGAGCCCAACTGTAGGAAATCTCTGATCACCGATGTGGAGTGACGAGTGTACAGACCCGGCGGATCGGGCGGATCGGTGAACCGGCAGCGGACCGGGCGACGGTCGTGGGCACGGTCGCCTCATGTGAGGCATCCTCCTCCCTCAAAATTGAGGGCCTGGGCTGGTAGGGTAAAATGGGGAAGCCCCGGGGCCTCTCCCCTGTAAGTAGAGGATGGATTTGAGAGTAGAGAGTAAGCGGCCCTTCCTCCTCGTGTATTCCTAAGTGGAGAAGAATACATGCCCCCGTTCCTTGGTGAAGAAGACTCTTCCGATGCTTGGTGCCGGCATTGAAAGAAAATCAACCAGTCGATGGTGGTGGGCGCTTAGAAAATTGGTTGCTGACGAAGCGGGCACAGGAGCCCCTGAGGGAATTGAGCTGCCCGCCCGTTGACGAGGATGCTGGTCCTTGAGAATGAGCTGGGCCGCCGGAATTTTCTATAGAGATTCATTGGATCCAGCCCGAGGTGAGTCCGAAAGATTCCAGTGCGCCGGTCCGGGCCTGGGGATAAGGTCAACTGCACCGCAGCTAATTGACAAGTCTCATGGCGATCCAATACGTCCGCAGACCGCGTGCAAAGGATCTTCTGCGCGAGGTCCTAGAGTGGCCATGGCTCCGCGAGGTCCGAGAGTGGTGGTTCCCGTAGACGTGAAGAAACGGCCGTGGGAACAGGAGCTCCCACTCCACAACAGATGGCACCCTGAGATACCTCCCGTCGCAGATGTCAGAACCGGCGAACTCTTCCGCGTTGAGATGGTCGACTGGACCGGAGGCCAGATTGGAGACAACGACTCCGCCGTGGACGTCAAGTCCGTCGATCTATCGGTGGTGAGTTCGAGGCTTTCTAGTTCTTTAGAGTGCTCCGCTGACATATTTATCTGTGTTCCAGACAACGGGGATTGTTGGTATATAGTCGGAAATTCACCGGACGATTCGAACCCTCCAAGACTTAGCGTTCATCCTGCCTGCCCTGGAAGTTCAATATCACTCCAAATTCCTAGTATTCCACCAAGATCAATGGTGATCCAGCAAAACCACGGAGTTGTTTATGATACCACTCGAATTTTGACCTCATCAATGTGTACTTTTCTCCGGACCACAGAAACAAAGGTTTCCCTGCGAAATTCTGAGTCCTGTAAACCAAATTTATGTAATAAATTGCAGAAGTAGATAGCCTTCTTCTCACCGAGTGAATCATTAATCCATTCAGAAACCCACTGGCTACTAAAGTTTTTATGGCCTTTTTCAACATCGGAACACTGATTCCTGACAATTTCATCCAGCCGCACTGTCTGAGTGGCCCACTTCGGGTCGTCGATTCTGATGGGACGCCAGCCAAGCCGGGGGATCTCCTTGCAGTCGAGATATGCAACCTGGGTCCTCTCCTCGGAGATGAATGGGGTTTTACAGCAACTTTTGACAGAGAAAACGGTGGAGGATTCTTAACCGACCACTTCCCGGGTGCTACAAAGGCCATCTGGTACTTCGAAGGAATATATGCATATTCTCCTCAGATACCAGGTATGTATCTTGTAGATCCCCATCCATTCTTGGTCATCTGGTTCCTTTCCGTCTCCAATGGGTAGTTTCTTCAGGCTTTCAGCAAATTTACTGGTGTTTTCCTGAATCATCACAGGGGTACGATTTCCGGGCTTAGCTCACCCTGGGATAGTAGGAACTGCGCCGTCGGCAGAACTTCTGAACATATGGAACGCAAGGGAAAGAGAACTAGAAGAGAATGGTGTTGCTTCCCTGAAGTTATGCGATGTTCTTCACACGAGGCCGCTTGCGAACCTGCCGACTGCCAAGGGTTGCCTTCTTGGAAAGGTATGCAGAATGACTTCCGAAGAGTTTGCCCTCTCACCTGGATGAATTTATGTGCATATTTTTCGTCAATATAGTGGAGCAAAATTCGAATCTGAAATTTTATCTTTATTAAGTGACTCCAACAAACTTTCTGGGCCTTCGGGACAAATAAAGTTCTAGAATGACTCCGTTTGTTGGCCTTGCGTAAGGTAAGCATGAGACGAATAGGCAATTAAGCAGTAATAATCTATGTATCAGAATCTCGACCGATTTCTGAGACAAAACTAGCGTACCATCTTCAAGTGTCGCCTGACATGTGGAGCTCGTTTGGACAAAAATCGCAGATCAAGGAGGGGACAGAAGAATGGGAAAGGATTGCGAACGAGGCAGCGAGGACGATTCCTGGAAGGGAGAACGGCGGAAACTGTGACATCAAGAATCTCAGCAGAGGCTCCAAGGTGTACCTTCCGGTGTTCGTGGAAGGGGCGAACTTGAGTGCAGGAGACATGCACTTCTCACAGGGCGATGGAGAGGTGTCCTTCTGCGGAGCAATTGAAATGAGTGGCTTCCTGGAGCTCAAGTAATATGACCCCCCCTCCCCCACTCATCCCTACCCATGCACAAGCTTCTATGTTGGTCGTCCTTCTCGCCATATCCTGTGATCCACATGAGACGCTGAATCTTTCTTGTTTCTCATTTACTCTGAAGGTGCGAGATCATAAGGGGCGGGATGAAGGAGTACCTCACGCCAATGGGTCCAACCGCGCTGCATGTGAATCCAATCTTCGAGATTGGACCCATGGAGCCGAGGTTTTCTGAGTGGCTCGTCTTCGAAGGCATCAGCGTGGACGAGTCGGGACGGCAGCACTTCCTCGATGCTAGCATTGCCTACAAGCGAGCCGTTCTCAACGCCATTGATTACCTCTCTAAGTTCGGGTACTCTAAGGAACAGGTCAGTCCGGCGGCAATCCACCCCTGATTCCTAAACCTGTGGTCTCATGGATGTCGTGGGGGATATGTAGGTCTACCTGCTACTCTCATGCTGCCCTTGTGAAGGAAGGATCTCGGGAATTGTCGACACACCAAATGCTGTTGCCACCCTCGCTATCCCAATTGCCATCTTTGATCAGGTGGGTCAGTCGGGGAGGCCCATCTCCTTATTTTCTCCAACCCCCTTTTCTAGTCTTATTCTGCTCTTTATGACGGCGCCGACGATGATGATTATGATACGATGGCTCTATGAACAGGATATCCGACCAAAGAAAGGGAAGGTGCCAACTGGTCCTCGAGTTGTGAAGAGGGTTCCCGATGTCCTCAGGTGCAGCTATGACGGGAATTTGCCCGTAACGCAGAACCCTGGGGGCAAAGAGTCTGAGATGTGGAAGGGGGCTCGCTCTGCATAGACCCACCATTCCTTGTTCCACAAACTTCTTCCTTTATCTTCGATGGGGAATCAGATATCATAAAACATCAATCTCATGTACTCAATAATCTGTCAAGGTCGCCTTGGTACACATTCAAAACAATTCCAATTGAAACGAGCGGTGTATCTTGTGGTGTCTTTTTCCTTAATCTCCCAATGGCTTCTGGTTGGAAAGGTGCCTGCTGGAACTCCTGCTGCAAAGCCGTCAAACAGGGACCGCCATGAAACCCTGACAGAAATAATAGAAATAAAGCTGCAGCTGATGACATGGAGCGATGCAGTTAATTTGTATGATAATGTATTAACTGGTTATTGTGCATCAAAAGGAGGACAAGATTCTTCTAATTAATTCGAATGGGACAAAATTCAAAGCCTTGATGAAAAAAAAATAACGTAATACTACAATATTTCTTTTTGGCAAATGCTCCGACCCATCAGGCAGCCGACTTTGCTAGCTTACAAAGCCCTTCATGCTTATAGTTTCACCCATATCCTTGCTTCCAACTAAAGAAAAGTCAGTCTCATTATCATTCTCGTAAGAGTTATATTTTACCCCAATAAACTCGTTGACTTGTGAAACATTATAAAATTCAATCTAGAGTTTCAAAGGTCTCATTTATTGACTACTTTAGGGTCATAATAAAAGGTCTACTGAGCTTATACTTTACTATACTTCCTACATGTTATGTTCCCTCACTACAGAAGGGCTCTTGGGATGTGGGACCGAAGGAAGGATGGCAAGGTTGACCAAGTCCATTTATTGACCTCGTTAAACGTCAAGAACGACGACAAGCTTCGGCTTGGAGCAAGGCACGTACCCCACCCCCCCCCCCTCTCCTAATGCCCACATCCTGGAGGACAGTCGTATGCTTCGACGCCACGCTACCTATTTGTTGTCCACGAATAAGCTCGGTAGATGGTTACAATTTTACGAAAGATCGTAACGCAACATTAAAAAAATAAATTAAAAGAGAATTAAAAATAAAGTAAATTTGGATTAAGTAAAAGGGAATGTGAGAAAAATTCATGTCTCCAGGCCTCTTCAAACGACCCACACAAGTGACTAAAATTATAAGACTGGGCACGCAGGCGAGTTGCAGCGCAAATCCTGTTCACCTTTTAAAGTTTTTTCTTCATGCAGAGTTACCAAAATTGGCATCAAGTGATGTCAAAAACGTTGACCTTCATATTCGTAAATTGATGAAATTCTCAATGATTGAGAATTTCCCCTGTCAACTGTTAGGATTAAGCAGATGGGCCGGTCTGGCCCAGAAGCTCGTCAGGCGTACCCCACTACTGGGCCGGAGAGAGAGGAGAGAGTCCAAAATGGAAACCCGGCCAGAAGCTCGTCAGGCGTGGGTCATCACCATATTTCCCTTCACAGCTTGCAAACATCGTGAAAGATTTGACGAATAAGCTACAGCATCTTCTTTTGGGGAAAAAAAAACGAAAAAAAAATCATCTGAGATACAGGCGTACTCATCAGAGATCATCGTCCTCAAGAGTAACAGACAACGACGCACGCTCGTCCCTTCCAGAGAGAGACAAAGAAACAGACGTCGGCGCCGCCATCCCGACTGGGATCGGACTCTTATTCCTCTTTAAGGGTGGATAGGTGGAAGAAAAAATGCCGACGGTAAGGTGTTCGTCCTGTTGTCCCAGCCGGAGGGCGTCCCTTGGAGTTTTCCGAAAGACTAGAGAATGAGAATGCTGAAGGGCACGTGAGAGCTATTGAAGGGTACGCCGGGGCTGCAATCAAAAGAGGGGGACCTTCATCCTCTTCGGGGGTGGCCCTCGAAAGCGGCCCACCGCTGTCCCGTCGCCGTTGCAGGGCCAAGATGGATCGGATGAAAAATAACCCCAATGCCCGGACGCGGTCCTGGAATGCGGCCCCATCCGTGAATGTGCCCCTTTCGTTCGCATCCGATTCGCCGGCCGGGTTCTTATCCTCATCATGAAAACCTCCTCATCAGCTAACAGCGTGATGATCGATCCCAGTCGTCGTCGTCGCTCAACTTTGATTCAGAGCTTCCTTGCACGTCTCCGCCCCTGAATTTCCGTCCATCTTGCAGGATCTATGCTACTTCGCTGCTGATACGGTCTTCCTCTCAAGATTCCAGACGGCCTGAGAGCTCGTTCTTCGTCGAGAATGGGCTATAAGGGCATGACCACGTCAATAAGGCTCAGCATTCTTGGGTGCATTTTTTATTATTATTTTGTTGCAGCTGGACATAGAAGATATTTGATAAATTGTGCGGTCTATTCTTGTCCGCATCCACGAAAGTACGCGTCTCATGACACTGTCAGATTTCGTACGTAGTTTATCGACGGATGGAGATTCAGCAATGGGTCAGAGGATCAGATCAAGGGTCTGATCGTCCGTGACGATTCTGCCTTTAATAAAATCTCGACGGGCTAATCTGGTCCAATCTTTGAAGCAATGTTGGGGAGCCCCGCAGAATCGGATCGGATCGCTCCGCTTGAGCCAATTGGAGCCATCATCACGCCATCGTGCGGCGGTGCATGGGATCAAAGGCACGAGAATCCGGTTTAAGATAAACGATGAAAAATTGAGAAAGCAAAAGCATATGAAGCTTTGGAAAGATCTCCAAAGAATTTGAGTGTTTCAATTTGCACAATAGTGGGATAGTACTGACTTAGCAACGAACACACCATGTCATTGGCACGAGCTACGAATGGAGTAACCTTATATAAAGCCGAATCTTGCATCGCATTTTATTTTTATTAAAAGGTAGAGAAATGGAAGTGATACTGGGGACACGGGACTTCAAGAATAATTCGAGTCGACCGGTCCAATCCGCGCAGTTACTGTCGCCGCCCAACGATTGAAACACACTGAGATGCGGAGGGACAGGCTTCTTGATATCATTTCTCCACCGGACATTATCCATCAAGGTTTCTAGGTCGTCCCCACCCTATACTTCTCGGCGAGTTGGTCTGTGGCCCCCAGTTCATTGGCGGGCCCTAGACGCGTCGCTCTCCGTCTAACAACGACTGAGCCGCACGAGCACCCAGTGGTGGGACGCTGGCGAGAGCGATGTGCTGGGTAAGCAGGTGACGCCGGCATCGTCCCTTGGTCACCGGTCCCTGCCGACGGCCGCATCGTCCGAGTTAATCCCCAGCACTTCTCCGGCCTGGCCGGGGGGTCAATTGCCTTAAACGGCTCCGGCCACACGGTGGCGTTTGCACCACATGCGGCCTGGGTCCGGGAGAGGATTCTTTTTCTGCCCGTGCGGAGAGGATCGGATCAGGAGGTATCAGAAGGGGCCGTCCGATTCCACCTAGTTCTCTCTCCGCCACTGGTCTCTGCACGTCGCAGAGCTGATGGCGCTCCACTGGAATCAGATTCGTCTGTGGGTGGCTCCCCGACTGAACAGCCAATGATACGATGGCAACATTTATCGGCCTCCCTACGGATGGATGGCCTTACATACGTTCAAAGATCGGTATCATTGGGGTTGACTCTTTGAATTTCGATCGTTTCAGTACGATCCACGTCGAATGAAGAAGACCCACCTCAGATCCTATACGATTTGTTGAGTTTCTTAGACTTAGTGAGACCCTTTGTATGCTTGACGATCGTCGTGGTCTGCCCTCCTCGCGAGGCCGTTCTACGCGTAAGCACACAGACTGGTGAAGAGCGACGGTGGAGGCGCGTCCACCACACTGTCGTTGCCAGGGCAGTCTCTTCTTCCACTCGTATCTTCGGAATCTTCTTGGCGGCTCATCCGCGTAGTGACAGGGATAAGACCGCGCCATCCCCCCCACCGCGCCAAAAGCTAAGGTGAAAGCCAAAGATGGGTAAGGTGGGGTGGGTGTGAACTCGGCGGCAGAACGATGTGACGTTCCTCCTCCTCATCCCTTCCCCAGTGCTGAGACCTTTCCCCGGCTCTTTCCCACAGTCGAAACGAGCACCATGCCCATATACGCCCCCAGAGTTAAAATCTCTGGTTAGTCTCCCTCTAATTCCTGGTTCGGCCACCGTCAATCATCCTCAGCTGTTTCCCAACATCCTCAGTTCACAGAAAGAAACAGATTAACTCTTCTCATCGCATTCCCTACCTGCAAGCGGTGTCGTCACCAAGGCCGGCGTCGAGCAGCCGGTGCGGGAAGAAACCTGCATATTTTTTACTCGAGGTCCCTGGAAGAGGAGAGAGGCAGCGGACCATAATCTGCAAGAAGAAAACTGGCACGCAGACAAGAAGGCCCACGTACGACTGAACGAATTTGGAATGACGCTGCACGAAAAACCTGCCTCACTGTTCACAGATCTTCCTCGTGTACGATAGCCACACCTTCGGGGGAGGTTGTCGACTCCATCTGTGACGACGACCTTGCCGAAAGAGATCAATCATCGAGATCCCTGAGGCTTCTTGACGTCATCGGCAAACTCCCGTCTTGTTCAGCATTGCTGCCTGGTGACCACCATAGGATGCTTCACGCTGAGCATTGCATCTCCTCAAAAGATAAGAGAGAGAGAGAGAGAGGGACCCAAAGCTATTTCTCGAAGAGGACCTCCCCAAAAGGTGAGATGGTTCGTATTCCAACATGGGAAATCTCATTTTGGAGTGTCCCTGAAGTCGTCCTCCGTAGAATTGGTCGATTCCTAACAGACTCCCGACACTACATGGCTTCAATTAATGACGTAACATGCTTTTGGTGGAACCCGGTGGGCTCAACAGATTGGCGTGTGCATGACCACCCTCCCCCCTGGCAGTTTGGGACGAGTCACTATGCGAGGATAAACCCGCATCACCATTATCACTGCATCTTACCAAGATTACTCCTGACATCTGCTCTCACGCTATGGACTATTAAATGTGGAGAATATGCAGTCGACCCAATCAGATTGCCAAATGGATCCATTGCTAAGAGGTCACGCTCCAATAAACCTAAGTTTCACAATTCTGACTTTTTTTCAAGGATTTATAGTGTTCTCCATTATTTTTGTTCTTATCT